ACAAAGAATAGAGGGCTCCAAGCGATGATATATCCAGGTCTAGCTTTAGACTTATCTAAACTGGTCTAGACTGGTCAGCTGGAAGAGGAGCCCTGCTGACAGGAGAAGGAGCCCCCAAGTCTTTGTCTCAGGTGAAGAAAAAACTGGAAATTTACCATCTTGGTTGCTTATCAGTGGCCCTATCTCTATCTGCCTTCCTGTCAGAGAATCTGTCTGACTTCTAGCCCCTCAATGAGGGTGTAGGGCACAGTTTAAGTAATAGGAACTTGCTTAATAAAAAAGTACAGCAGGACTGGGGACAGGGTTAAGTTGGTAATGTGCTTTCTGTGCAAGCATGAAGACCTGAGTTCCGTCCTCCAGCACCCATGTAAAAGGTCAGGTGTGAAGCCAGGTGTGATGGCACGTGCCTTTAAGCCCAGCACTCAGGAGGTAGAGGCAGGGGGATCTCTGTGAGAAAGAGGCCAGCCTAGTCTACATAGAGAGTTCCAGGCCAACTGGGGCTACAAGGAAATCCTGTCTCAAAACAACAAAAGTGAAGTGTGGTAGTGCACACCTATAATCCCAGAGCCAAAGTGGCAGAGACAGGCAGATCACTGGAGATCAATGTCCAGCTAGCCTAGCCTAATAGGTGAGTTCCTGGCTCCAAAAATAGGGTTTAAGGGCCTGGAGAGATGGCTCAGCAGTTAAGAGCACTGACTGCTCTTGCAGAGGACCTGGGTTCGATTCCCAGCACCCACATGGCAGCTAGCAACTATCAGTAACTCCAGTTCCAAGGAATCCAATGCCCTCTTCTGACCTCCGTGGGCATTACACGACATGGGTGCACTCACACACATGCAAGCAATACACTCATACACATAAAATAAGAATAATAAATAAAATATTTTTGAATATGGTTTAAAAAGCAATTAATAAACCTGATGTGAACTCTAGCCTTCACACACATACATGGGCATGTGTACCTGTACATGCACGTATGTACACCCACATGAACATGTACACATACCACACACATAAATGGAGTAGTGCACTACCATCTTTGGCCACTAGAGGGCAGAAGAAGCCTGTGATTTAATCAGGGAACAATGCACTTGAGCACAAACCAAAAGTAAACAGATTAAGGTCAAAGGTCATGTCCCTAAAAGGAAGACGTTCCAGAGACAAAGAAAAGGAGCTCCTGAGAAAACCAGAGGAGAGGAAAAGCAGGTGGCAGCTGGCACGTCCAGTTAATAATCTAACACTTGGTACCGGAAAAGTTACACACATGAGCAAGGTATGTCAAGAAACATATCTGGTGAGATGGTTCAGAAGAAGGAGCACTTGCTACTCAAGCAAAAAGACCTGAGTTCAAATCCCCAGCACCCCTGTAAAAAGCCGAATGTGGCTTGCACACGTGTGTGTATGTAATCCCAGCCCTGTGGGGGGCGGGGTGGAGACGGGAGGATCACTGGGGCTTGCTGACTGCCAGCCTAGCTCCAGATTCAGTGAGAGACCTTGTCTCAAGGGAATGAGGTAGAAAGAGCACGCAGCACACACATATACATGAAAACAACCTTGAGTTGCATTTGGTGGTGCTCACTCTTAATTCCAGGACGCAAGAGACAGAGGCAGGAACTGGCTATGTAGACCAAGCTGGCAGAAAACTCCAGGACTTCGCCCTGCCTTTGCTTCCTGAGTGCTGGGACCAATAAAATTTTTTGTAAAGGTCTGAGAACAATCACATGAACATAGAGATCTAAGGAGAGGGACAGCTGGCCATCACTACTTGGGACCTGACCAGGTGACAGAACGGGCAGGTGTCAGGACCATGGAAAAACCCTTTCTACATGTGGTACCCTTCCCATCCCAACACACACACTGCACCCAGGGCCAAGCTGATTTAAAAGGTCCATCTGTTAGACAATGCAAAAACTTGTTAGAACAAGCAGAATTAACATGCAGAGAGCACTGAGTGTGTCTGATCCCAAAGGCCCCAGATCTGACCCCCCAAATGCTAGCTGAATAAACTTTAAAGGTGTGTGCCACTATACGCGGCTACTTTTTGTGTTTGTTCATGTGTGTGTGCACATGTGTGAAGGCCAGAGTTGACCCTGGGTGTCTTCTTCAGTTAGAATTGTTTTTTGACTTTTTCTTTTTTTGTCTTTTTGAGACAGGGTTTCCCTGTAGCCCCAGCTGTCCTGGAACTCACTATGTAGACCAGGCTGGTCTTGAACTCACAGAGATCCGCCTGCCTCTGCCTCCCGAGTGCTGGGATTAAAGGCGTGCACCACCATGCCTGGCTTTTTTTTTTTAGCTTTAAAAAAATTTTCATTTATTATTTTTATTTTATGTGTATTGCCTGCATGTAGGTAAGTGCACCCATGTCGTGCAATGCCCATGGAAGTCAGAAGAGGCTGTAGGATCCCCTGGGACTGGAGTTACAGACAGTTGTTAGCTGCCATGTGGGTGCTGGGATTCGAACCAAGGTCTTCTGCAAGAACAACCAGTGTTCTTAACTGCTGAGCCATCTCTCCAGCCCCCTTCAGTCAGAATTTTTATTTATTTTTAGGGGGGAGTATCTCGAATTCACAGAGATCTGCCTGCCTCTGCCTCCCAAATTCTGAGATTAAAGGTGTACATCACCAGAGCCAGTGGGCAACCTGACTTATTTTGGGGGATGAGTTCTCTCACTGAACCTGGAGCTACCAGTTCAGCTAGACTGGCTAGCCATTGAGCCCCAGAGATATTACTGTATGCCCAGTAGGAGCTCCCTACAAAGAGTCCCTGCCTCCTCCAACTTCCTGATCCCTCCCTCTACCCCTACAGACCACTATGCCTTGGGAATATCTGCTAGGGTCCTTAAAGGCTTTTTCTGGGTCTCAGGGACTGTTCTCAGAACCTGCACAGGGTCCACAGCAGCACATTTGACAAGAGTCCAGCTCTGAGCCCTGCCAGCTCTAAATATCTCCTCTTAGCATCTGTGTGGAGAAGCAAGTATGGGTACCCCTAGTGGCCTGAGGCCGCCCACATCCTTAGCCCAGTAGCAGGGGTACAAGCACAATTCTTGTAGAAAGCCTGCACTGTTTGCAGATTGAGCTGGAAAAGAGTTAGGGAGCTGGGGGTGTGGCTCAGCTGGTAGAGTGCTCACCTAACATGCAGGAAGCCCTGGATTCAATCCTCAGCCCTGTATGAACTGGGTATGGTGTTGTACCCCTGTAATCACGGCATTTCAGAGGTGCAGGCAGGAGGATCAAGAATTCAAGTTTATCACTGGCTACATGAGGCTAGCCTAGGCTACATGAGACCCTGTCCCCAAAAAAGGGGGCAACTGGAGAGATGGCTTAGTGGTTAAGAGCACTGATTGCTCTTACAGAGGACCTGGATTCAGTTCCCAGCACCTACAAGGCAGCTAACAACTGTCTGTAACTCCAGTTCCAGGGGGTCTGATGCCATTTTCTGATCTCTGCAGGTGTTGAACATACATGGTGCACTTACATACATGCAGGCAAAACACTCATACACATAACATAAAAGTAAATTTTTTAAAAAAGAAAGGAAGGCTGGAGAGATGACTCAGCAATTAAGAGTACCTACTGCTCTTGCAAAGGACCTGAGGTCAGTTCCCAGCAACCACATGGCGGCTTCTGTATCTCACTCCAGCTCCAGGGGGATCCAAAGCCTCTTCCCTCCAAGGGCACCTACACTCACATGCACCCACCAACACACAGACACATACATACATATAATTGAAAATAATAAGCCCCAGGGTCTGGAGAGATGGCTCAGTGGTTAAGAGCACTCTCTGCTTTTGCAGAGGATCTGGGTTTGATTCTCAGCACCCACAGGGCAGCTAACAATTGTCTGTAACTCCAATTCCAGGGGATCCACCGCCTTCTTTTGACCTCCCCAGGCATTGTACGACACAAGTACACTTGTAGGCAATATACTCGTACACATAAAATAAAAGTAATAATAAAAATATATAAATGCTTTTCTAAAAAAAGGAAACGAGGGAAGGGGAGGGGAGGGAAGGGAAGGAGGGAAAAGGGGAGGGGGGAGGGGAGGGGTGGAGAGGGGGACAGAAAGGAGAGGAGGGGAGGGGGAAGGGAAGGGAAGAGAGGAAGGGAGGGAGCAGGATAAAAAAGGGGGGATAGGAGAGAGGAGAGGAAGGGAGGATGGAGGAAGAAAAAGGGGAGAAAGAAGAGGAAGAGGAGGAGGAGGGAGAGAGAACAGACTTGCACTGGGTGGGTAGAGAACCCAGGACTGCAAGACTTCCCCACAATTCCCATCCCCACTCTGCCTGCCACGTCCATACTGGAGGACCCAGCCACAGCCGTGGCGGCTTGAGCAGTAAATTCTGGCCCTACTTGCAGCTCCCAAGGCTGCTTCCTCTTTCTGCTGCCCAGGACGCACCTTGCTTAGCTCTGCTCACACCTTGACTTCCAATCTAACTCAGGTCTGTGATAGATTCAAATCCTTCCGGCCCTGGCCTGCTCTAGGCCTTCCAGGGAAGCCCTCCAGGTGTGCACTGTTGGGAGACACATCACTGTGGCTTCCCCGACTCCTTGGGGCATGATAGTCCCTCTGCTGGGACACCATGGTCCCAAGGATGGGCATGGGTCCCAAGGAGTTCTAGCATCTAAATATCCAGCATGCTTGCTGACCCCCACCCCCACACCCAGTACATAACCCAGAGCCTTACCAACCAGAGGGATTGACCCAAGGGAGCGTCCTCTCCTGTACTGTTCATGATGTGTTGTGAAGACATCCAGGACCAGGGCTGGAGTGAAATGGAATCCTGGGAAACTCACTTTCATAAACGACGCTGAGGAAGAGAAAGGGTTTATGGGAGCAGGAGAAGGAAGGGTGGAGAAGCCTTTCAGGAGCATCTCCAAGGGTCACCCAGAGTTGGAAATTTCCCCCTTAGTGATTTATTCCTTGAGCTGATACTCCTGAAAAAGTGCATTCTTATTCTCAGCATTCACTTTTCAGGTGGCTAACAACTAATTAGGACACAAGGCTGAAAGTGGCAAATTTATTTATTTATTTGTTTGTTTGTTTGTTTATTGTGTGTGCACACATGCGTGCGTGTGTAAAAGACAGAGAACAATTTGCAAGAGTCCATTCTCTCCTTCCACCATGTGGTTCAGGAATTGAACTCGGGTCTTCAGACTTGGCAGCAAGCACCCTTATCTACCGAGCCATCTCACCAGCCCAATTGTACATTTATGATCCTGTTGCTTTTTTCACACAGCCCTACAAGGTTCCGTCTTATTGAGCTCATTTTACAGTTGAGGACACTGAGGCCCACAGAGGGCAGGAGATTGGTCTAAACTCTCATCAACATAGAAGGCCAGATTTGATCCCAGATTTAGCAAGACACAGTCTTTCATAGTACCTGGGTAACAGACAGGGCTCTAAGCTGTGGTCAGGGGGAGCACAGAACCACACAAAGTCCACAAGCTCCTCAATGAGGATCTGGGCTTTGAAGGATGCATAGGAGTTGGGCAGGAGAGATTCATCCTGTGGAGTAGCAGGGGACAATTTGCATCAAGTGCTTAGCCTAGGGGCATAATTCAGGAACTCAGAAGGGGTCACACGATCACTTTGAAGTCTGTGTCCCAGCACACATCACTGTTCCCAGGAACCTGGATGGCTCCCATCAGCACCTTGGTGACTGGAATTTTCTTGGCTGCCATGGTTCAACACCCAGGGAGTTTCTACATAGCATTCCAGAACCCCTGGGTGCCCCTTCCCCAGCCTCAGGCCTAGAGGGAGGCCAGTCTCAGTGTCCCAGCCCATCAGCAGCTGGTTCTCCCCAGCCCTTCTCTCTATCCCCAGCCAGGACCACAGCTGGAGGAAACACGGGGAGATCAGGGGACAGGGTTACCCAAGATAGTTTCCAGGGACCGAAAGTCCTGTATGGTCCCACACCTATGCTCACACACATGCACACACATTCACGTGACATGCTAACATTCATGCATACACACATGTTCAAAGATGCACACACATTCACACTCATTCACATTCATGCACACACACGTTAAACATGCAACTCACTCATGCATACACTCCCATTCAGTCGTGCATACACTCATACACATGCTCACATTCACACTCATATTCACACAGTCATGCACATACACATACATCTGCTTGCTCTCATGCACACATTCACATTCATACATGTACACACTTGTTCACATGTGAACACACTCACACATATTTACACATTCATTTCTGCACACACATGTGCTCACTTTCTGGCACATATTCGCTCACTCGTGCACACACATACACTCACACTCATGCACACTCAGCCACACACGCACACTCCTATTCACACACTCGGGCACACACTCATACATGTGCTCACTCATGCACACACTCACATGTACATGCAGGTAGACAAAACCAGTCTCAAAGCTCACTATCTCCAAAGCCATCTGTCCAACAAGTGCATCAAAATTTAATACTGGCTTGGACATATGGGATTCCAGGTGCTAGAGCCCCCAAATACCTGGAATGTGCTAGAACAAAGTGTAAGGCACCCTGTCTTTGCCCACCCTCACCCACTCTCATCTGGTTGGGAGTTGTAGGACAGGACCTTGGAATTCAAGACAGATTCTATCCAGAGATTCCAAGCTGTGAGTTCAGGTCAGGAGCCAGGCCAGCTGCTCCACCCTCAGCCAATGTCCACTTGACGCGAGGCTAGCCCAGCAGTAGAGGGGGTTGAGGACAGGCCCCTGGCTGCTGTGCTGTTAGCAACAGGGCACTTCAAGGGTTGAAGTGTGCAGACATTCTGCCTGTCCCGATGAGGCAGAGACCCAGCCCCTGGGCCCATCAGAGGGGCCTCAGAGAGCCACTTCATGGCACCAAGAGAAAAATCCAAAAATTGGCATCATGAGCCCTTGACAGGGAGCAAGTTGAGGGCCTTGCTGGAGCCCATTAATGACCACACAGCCTCACCATTTCTCTGGATTTTTCAGAATGAGAAGAAATGGCCCAGCAGCAGCATCTTCATCCTAGCTCTTTGCTTCTCCTGGACCAAGAACCAGTTCTGGTGAGGAGAAGAGTCAGGAGCTGCTTCAAGTGTGCCTCAGTCTCCCCACACTGCTCACAAACAACCAACTCCAAGAACTTTTTCAAAGGTAGAAAGAAGAAGGAGGGCACAGAAGGCAATGGTCTCAGGAGATAAGCATGCTCCGGTACACAGTGACTTTTAACTGCTCTGCCTTGATCCTGCCTCAGAACACGCCAGGCCAGATAAGCCAAGGGGCTCCACCATGAGTACAGAATGGACTAGCAATATCTGTCCAGGGCTCTGAGTTGAATTCTGCCACATACTGTAATTGATTGGTGATGTCTGCCATGGTCAGGGTTATTCTCCACCTGCCATCTTTAAGCTGGGTGACTTGAGAGCGAGGCCCTCAAGACCCTAAAAAAATACCTCTTGGCCTGTCATTCTCCATTTTGCCCTTTTCTGAAGATGTTAATATTGGTTATAGTAGGAAACATTTGTCTAAAGTAGAAACACATTACTGAGTTAATTTCTCCTCCACAGAAGTGACTAAATGCTTGCTTTCTTGCTGGGGACAAAAAGGGTGGTCTGGTGGTCAATGGATGGAACCTCAGACCCATGAAGAATTCCACCAGAAAAGGCCGATGCCTTGGCACCATGCTCATGCTAGAGTTCATTCCCCATGATGCTCTGCTTCAAAAGTCCACATGACCCACAGAGTCCAGACACTTCATTTGGACACCTTGGTCTGCAGCGTGCTTGGCAGATAGAGATACCTCCAGATAGCATAGTAGTGGGTACCAGCACCAAATGCCACAAAGAGGTGCCAGATGGCATGAGCAAAGGGGATCCTCCCATCGCTCTTGAAGAACACCATGCCCAAGCAGTAGAAGACCCCTCCAGTCACCAACTCCCAGATGCCCTCGGTGTTGGACTGTTGATGAAAGGAGAATGGAACACAGGTCAGGTGAAGAACTAGTCGTTCCCCATCTACCAAACTTAAAGGCACCCAAGTGGCAAGCCAGCCCATGTCCCTGTAGGGGAACCTCAACACTTTGATATCATGAAATCCCCTCCAATAATTCCCCCCAAATCTCAGCTCTTTCACCTGCTGCAATTGCTTGGTGATGGCAAACTCTAGCCTCAGAAGCCAGGTGTGGTGGTACACACCTGTAATCCCAGTACTGGGGAGGGGGTGAGAGCAGGAGGATCAGGAGTTCAAAGTCATTCTTGGCTACACAGAGTTCAAAGCCAGCCTGGGATACATGAGACCCTGTTTCAACAGAATAAAAATCCCAAAGAATAATTTTATAGGTTTTTATCTTTTCTACAAAGGATATATCTAAGTGTGTACCCCAAGAAAGCAGCAACTCTGACAGATGTTTGCACAGCTGTATTCACATATTATTCACAAGAGCAAATGGGTAGAAGCAACCTAAGTGTCCACCAGTGGGGACCAGTGGGTTAGCAAAAGGTGTGGTGGCCTGGGTGTGGTGGCTCACACCTGTGATGCCTGCACTAGGAAGCAAAGGCAGGAAAATCAAGTTTGAGAGTAGCCTAGGATACATTCATCGCAAACAAGGCAAACCTAAGCTAAATACTGAGACTCTTTCTCAAAAGGAAGGGTGTCTGGGGATGTAGCTGAGTGATAGAGCACTTACCCAGCATGTTCAAGGCCTTGAGTTGACCCTCCAGTACACACACACACACACACACACACACACACACACACACACACACACACGCAGAGTCATTGTATATATCCATACAATGGAGTATTAGTCAATCCTGAAAAAGATGACCACTCTGACACAAACTGAAATGTGGGGGCACTTTGAAGACATGAGGCTGAATTTAAAAGCCAGGCACAAAAGAACAGCTGCCATAAGATGTGAGGCCCCAAAGTAGCAAAGTCTACAGAGACAGCAGGTAAATGGGTGGGAGGAGGAAAGGTGTGTGTGCGTGCACATGTACACACTTGCATATGCATGTGTTTATCTGTGTGAGAGTGCATGTATGTATGTGTACTGGTACATCTGGGGGCCAGTGGCCAACCTCAGGTATTGTACCTCAGGACATATTCATCTTGTTTTCTTGAGTCTTATGCAGTCTAGACTCAGCTCAAACTCTACAAAAAAAGTGAGACTGAGCTTGAACTTTTTATGCTGGGGGAAAGGTACATGGAGGTCAGAGGATAACTTGTGGGAGTTGGTTCTTTCCTCCTATCATGTGGGTTCAGAAATCAAACTCAGGCCATCAGGCTTCACAGCAAGTGCCTTACCTCCTGATCCATCTTACCAGCCCATCTTGTTTGTTTTTGGCAGGGTCTCCCACTGGCCTGGAACTCACCAAGTAGGCTAGGCTAGCTGACCAGCAAGCCCCAGGGATCCGCCTGTGTCCGCCTCCCCAGTGCTTGAATTAAGAGCACACCATCATGGCTTTTTATAGTTTAAACTTGGATTCTAGTGCTTAAACTCAGGTCCTCATGTTTGTGTACCAAATACTTTATTGACTGAGCCACCTCCCCAGCCTGGGATTTGTTGAATGGGTCTACATACTTGAAAAATGTTCCATGAGCGAATGGTGGTGATGGCTACAGGACAGCAAGAATACACTTGGTTAATGACCTGAAAGCTTTATCTCTGCTGGCTAGCTTTCATAGTGCATGCTATGTAGATGTGAAAAGTAATCCTCAACCTTACCTACCTATTAACCCTATGATCTATAACAACCAGCCTGGCAAGATACACCCACTGGTGCAATAATGGCATGACTGTTATGGGAGTAAGCAACACTTTCTGTTTGAATTTAAGGTCTGCTTCACAACATGGAGACTACACCTAGTACTGTTATCAGGACCAAGAACCTAGACAAGTCACAGGTCAGAGGGGAGAACCTCCTACTATCATCCGGCTAAATGGACATAGTATTAAACTGACTTCTAATGACTCATTGTTATACTCTTAGACTAGTGCATCTCTCAGTGCTCAATAGAGAAGCTTCTTGAAGCAGATGGCGATTAACACAGAGACCTACAACTGGTCAATGTGCAGAGAATAAAATACTGCAGAGTGCTCAGCCCTCAATGAGACATCTATAGCACACCCTCTCCTCCCAAAGCTCATGGATCATTGTAGAAGAGGGGGTGGAAAAATTTTTAAAAGCCGGAGGATGAATAAAAAGAAGCTATGTTGTCTGGACACCACAGGATAGGGTTGCACATATGACCCACAGCACTATGAGTATGCACAAGACCTGCACAAGCCCAAGCCAGACAGAAACTCAGCATGGAGTGGGAAGGTTGGTAAAAAGCCCCAGCCCACTGAGGAACTGTTGGCAACTGATAGCTGCTGGGAGAGGGAGAGTCAGTTTCCCTTAACAGTGTGTACCTGGTAGGGTTAACCAGGCTCCAAGGGATGGACCCATACCCAAGAGCATTTGGGAAACACAAATTAGATTTGGTTGGCCTGTAAAAAAAAAATAATAGATGACATGAAGTTGGGGGTTAGTAGGGTGGGGATCAAGGGGGTCTGAATATAATCAAAGTACATTGTATGAAGAATCAATCAGTAGAAATTTTTAATAATGAATGTTATGTATATTCTGTTCTAATCAAAAGTAATTTCCATGCCAGGAAGATGGCTCAGTGGGTACTTGCCACACAAGCATGAGGACCTGAGTTCAAATCCCCAGACTCCCAAGTAAAGCTGGATACAATAACATGTGTCTGTCATCCCAGTGACCTGTGACAATGGGAGGCAGAGACAGGAGGATCTCCAGAAACTTACAGGCCAGCTAGCCTGGTGTACACTGTGGCAAACAAGAGATCCTGTCTCAAACAAGGCGGTAGACAAAGGTGGAAACCCAAGGGTAGCTTCTGGCCTCTACACATGCACCATGGCACATGTGCACCCACCCTCACACACATCCATGCACCATACATACAAAGATGAAAAAGAATAATCACAATGGGGCTGCAGAGATGGTTCAGTGGTTAAGGGCATGTACTGCACATCCTGCTCTTGCAGAGAGAGCAAGCTGGATGCCCACAGTGGACAGCTCACAATCACCTTTAACTCCAGCTCTGAGACATCAGATGCTCTTTTCTGGCCTCCATGGGCATCTGCACTAATGTGCACATACCCACACCTACCTACTCACATACACATAATTACAAATAATAGAGGGGCTGGAGAGATGGCTCAGCAGTTAAGGGCACTGGCTACTCTTGCAGAGGACCCAGGTTTGATTCCCAGCACCCACATAGAGGCTAACAATCATCCATAACTCCAGTTCCAGGGAATCTGACATCCGCTTCTGACCTCTGAGGGCATTGCATGACACAGGTACACTTACACACATGCAGGCAATATACCCATATATAATAAAAATAATAAACGCCAGGCATGGTGGTGCATACCTTTAATCCCAGTACTCCTGAGACAGAGGCAGGCAGATCTCTAGGAGTTCAGGGCCAGCCTGGTCTACATAGTGAGTTCCAGGCCAGCTGCGGCTACAGGGAGACCCTGTCTCAAAAATACCAATAAATAAATAAATATTATTTTTTAATAATAAAAATAATTTGGACACGGTGGTATATGACTTCTAACATTTTTTAGAAGCTTGGTGTACATAGTGAGTCAGTTGTCTAAAAATTTTAAATATAAAAAACAGAAAAACAAGAAATATAGGCTAGAGAGATGGCTCAGAAAGCACTGACTGCTCTTACAGAGGACCTGGGTTCAATTCCTAGCACCCACATGGTGACGAACAACCATCTGTAACTCCAGTTCCAGGAGATCCAGTACCTTCTTCTGACCTCTGTGGGCATTGTATGCCATGGGTACACTTACACACATACAGGCAATACACTCATACATGTAAAAATAATAAATAAAACATACTTTTTTAAAATTTAAAAAATTTTTATTTTATGTGTATCAGTGTATTGACTGCGTGTGAGTACACCTGTGTCATGCAGTGTCACAGAGGTCAGAAGAGGGTTTCAGATTCCCCTGGAACCGGCATTAAGGACAGTTCATAGCCACCATGTGGGTGTTGGGAATCGAACCTGGGTCCTCTGCAAAAGCAGTCAGTGCTCTTAACCGCTGAGCCATCTCTCCAGCCCCCAAATAAAATATATTTCTTAAAAGTAATACAAAACAAACAGAACCAAGTAAAGAGCTGGGCGAGGTAGTCCATGCCTTAGGCAGAATCAGGAGGACCAGGAGTTCAAAGCAAAGCCAAGATATATAGTGACACCCTGTCTCAAAAAGCAATGACAAAAATCAACAAGGGCTGAGGATGTGCCTGAATGCTAGAGTGCTTGTCCAGCATGTACAAGACCTGGGCTTGTCTAAATCAGGTTGGCCTGTGGACATGTCTGTGGGGAATGGTCTTGATTGTGTTCATTGATTTGGGAAGACCTAGCCCATGGTGGCTGGCACCATTCCCTGCAATTAGGTCCTGGATTGTATAGGAGTAAAGAAAGCTAGCTGAGCAGTAGGCATGCGTGCATGCATTCTCTCCTGGCTCTTGACTGTGAATGTAATGAGATGCTTCAAGTTCATGCCCTGACTTCTTGGTGATGGACTGTAACCTAGAATTGCAAGCCAAATAAACCCTTTCTCCCCTAAGTGGCTTTTTTTAAAAAAAAATGTTTTATTTTTAATTATGTGTGTGTGTGTGTCTGTCTGTCTGTCTGTCTGCCTGTGTCTGTGTCTGTGTCTGTGTGTAGATATGTGGACCACATGAATGCAATGTTTGAGGAGGCCAGTTGAGGGAGTCAGATCTCCCTGGACCTGGAGTTACAGGCAGCTAGTCATCAGTGGATGCTGGGAACGTAACTCAGGTCCTCTGCAAGAGCAATACGCATTCTAAATTCCTGAACAATCTCTCTCAGTCCAGCCCCATAAATTGCTTTCTGTCAGGATATTTTATCACAGCAACAAAAATGAAACCAGAACATTGTGATTTATCTTGTGAACAGCTCCAAGGTGTCTCACCACACACATGCGCCATGTACTCCCCAATCCTCAAGAGTACTCCAGTCGACTATTGATTACACTGTACTCATCACACCCAGTGTTTCCCAGAACGTCCTGTATGCCAGGCTCCATTTGAACTGTCTCATCACCTTCCCAGTACACACAGACCCAACCTCAGGGGGAGACAGAAAGGAAGTGCTGAAGTGCCCAGGTAGGGCCTCAAGATTAACCTCCATGGTCTTCTGTCCCCCACCCCCTCCCTTTTTGATTTATTTATTTTCGTTTTATGTGTGTGAGCCTGCAGGTATGTAAGCATACCCATGTTATACAATGCCTGTGGATGCCAGAAGAGGACATCAGATCCCTTATAACTGGAGATACAGATGGCTGTAAGCTGTCATGTGGGTGCAGGGAACCAAACCTGGGTCCTCTGCAAGATCAGTCAGTGCCCTTAACCACTGAGTCATCTCTTCAGCCCCTCTTCTGATCCTTTAGAGGCAGAAGCACAATGACCCACTGGGCTTCAGTTTCCCCAGCTGACAAAGGAGAAAGCTTGACTTGACCATCTTGAGAGGCAGGTCCAGCTTGGACACATTGGCTCCCTCCAGAAAGTTCGGACTCCTTAAACTGGTACCCAGTACAACTTACCATGGAAAGGATGACCAGGGCAGGGAAGAAACCCATCACCACATAACAAAGAAGCTCCACAAGCTTGTACCTGGTGGAAAAACAAGCCATGGGATCTCAGGACAAGTGTCCAAGGAGGAAACAGAGCATACAGTTCCCCAATACCAAAGACAGAACAGTGAGAGGAAGAAACTCTCCCTGTATGACACTCCTGCTCTTATTCTACCCAGCAACACGAAGCGGTAATGGTAGTCATATGACCCTGGACAAATCATATGACACGCCCCTTTCCCTCTCTGAGTCTGTTTCTAAACCTGTAAAGTGATACACTGTAGCCAGAACATGGATGGCAGATTTAGGCATAGCAAGCATATGAGTGTTTTCCGTGCTTGGCCCATGGCAGACATTACCAATTGATCCCAGCATCTTTTCTCACAGGACTCAAGCAGTCATTCTCAATCTAGCTGAGTTGCTGGATCCAACAAATCCTATTTGCCCTCTGGATTAAATGTCATCTGGGGGCCCTGTGGGCTCTGAGATTCCAGGACTTTATTTTCTTTTGCTTCTCCAGTTTCTTTTTCATCCCACATTTAATTATTCCTGCCTCATAGCAGGAAAAGGATTCAGGGGCTGTGCCCCTCTCAAATCCTCTCCCCATTATCTTCTACTACAGTCTAGGGAAGTCAGGTGACAGATGATCAAGTTCAATGGGTCAAGTAACCTATGATGTCTTTTTTTAATGGAGGAGGGTTGGAGAGACGGCTCAGGAATCAAGAGTGCTTGCTGCTCAATCATGAAGACTGGAGTTCGAACCCCAGCACCTACAGTAGGCATCTCATGACTACCTGAAACTCCAGCTGCAAGGGCATCCACAGGCACTGCACACACATGTGCATACACACACACATAAATTAAACATTTTGGTGTGTATGTGTGTATTTGTGTGTGTGGAGTTCGAACCCCAGCACCTACAGTAGGCATCTCATGACTACCTGAAACTCCAGCTGCAAGGGCATCCACAGGCACTGCACACACATGTGCATACACACACACACACACATAAATTAAACATTTTGGTGTGTATGTGTGTATTTGTGTGTGTGTGTGTGCAGGTGTACATGCACATGTGTGTGTAGGCCAGGGAACCCTCCTATGTCATTCCTCAAGTGCTATTTTGTGTTTTCAGGCATGTTCTCTCCTTGGCTGGAGCTCACCAAGTAGGATAAGTTGGTTGGCTGGGAGTCCCAGAGATCCTCCTGTTTCTGCCTCCCTAGCACTGGAGTGACACGCACATGCCACCACATATAGCTTTATTTATTTCTTAATTTATTTTTATTTTATGCGGAGGCCAGAACAGGGCATTGGATCACCTGGAACTGCAGTTATGGATGATTTTTAGTCCCTGTGTTTATATGAGTTTTTTTACCTGAATGTATGTGCATGCACCACTTGTGTGCAATGCCTACAGAGGCCGAAAGAGGATATCAGATCCCCTGGAACTAGAGCTAAAGATGGTTGTTAGCTGCCATGTGGGTGCTGAGAACTGAACCTAGGTCCTCTGCCAGTGCTCTTAACCACTGAGCCATCTCTCCAGCCCACATACCCAACTTTTTAAGTGGATTCTGAGGATTAAATAAGGCCTTTACACTTGCATAGCAGGCACTTTGCCATCAGAGCTATGTCCCCGGCACTGCTATGATGGTGTTTTAAATTTATTTTTATTTATTTATTTATTTATTTATTTATTTATTTGGTCTTTTTGAGACAGGGTCTCCCTGTAGCCCCAGCTGTCCTGGAACTCACTATATAGACCAGGCTGGCCTTGAACTCACAGAGATCTGCCTGCCTGTCTCCCAAGTGCCAGGATCAAAGGCGTGCACCACCCCACCCGGCTATTTATTTCTGTTTTTAAAACATTATTTATCATTTTTATTTCATGAGTATGAATGTAATGTCTACATGTAGGTAGGTGCACCTGTGTCATGCAACGCCTGAAGAGGTCAGAAGAGGGTGTTGGATCCCCTGGAACTGGAGTTACAAACAGTTGTTAGCTGACATGTGGGTGCTGGGACTTGAACCCAGGTCTTCTACAAGAGCAGCTAGTGCTCTTAACCATTAAGCCATCTCTCCAGTCCAATTTATTTCTATTTTATGTGTATGAGTGTTGTGCCTGAATGTACGTAAATGTAGCATATGCATGCAATGTCCATGGAGGCCAGAACAGGGCATTGGATCACCTGGAACTGCAGTTATAGATGATTTTTAGCCCCTGTGTGGGTGCTGGGAGCCCAACCCCAGTCCTCTGCAAGAGCAGTCAGTGTTCTTAACCACTGAGCCATCTCTCCAGCTCCCTATGATGTGTCTTTTGAAAAACAGTTCAGGGGCTAGGGAGATGGCTCAGCTGGTGCCTGCTGTGCAAATATGAGGACCTGAGTTTGGATCCCCACACCCACATAAAAGCCAAGCAAGAGCTCACACTTTTGTAACCTTAGTGCTAGGAGGGCTGAAACAGGAGGATCCTTAGAGCCCACTGGCCAGTCAATTGGGGAGCTGTAGGTTGCCGGAGATCCTTTATCAAAAAATAAGGCAGAGCCAGATATGGTAGCACATCCCTTTAATCCCAGCACTCGGGAGTCAGGGGCAGGCAGATCTCTGTGACATTGAGGTCAACCTGGTCTACATAGTGAGTTCCAGGCTTGCCGGGATTACAGGAAGACCCTGTCTCAAAAAATAAATAAATAGGGAGCTGCCCCATGCTGTCCAGGCCCCTGTGGCACCAGGGCAATGGCCCCCTGGCTGGGGAGCTCAGACAAGGGGGTCCAGTGATAGTGCAGCCCACGAGGTAGTTTTGACCACCCGACTGTGCCACACCCAGGTCCACCTCTCTTGCGGGGGTCTGGGCCTACAAGTGACCACTGTGCAGCACACCCATGGTCTGCCTGGCTATCATCATCACCCAAGTGACAAGCTAGGCACAGTGGAGAAGGGACTTGGCAATTAAGAGGGAGAGTAGCTGAGGAACCAAGATGGCAGCAGTATCAGCTCTCAGCAAAACACCACTCTGATTTGAGAAAATGTCTCATCACTCTAGTGGCTGTCAGGGCCTGGCTGGCAGCTCTCAGCACCAGTAGGGACCTGAGAAGTCTGCAGATCTCAGAAAATAAGCTAGAGGACACTGGGGGTAAAGCGGTTGTGTGAAGCTGTGAGACATTCCAACTGCCACTGGAGAATCTTGGGGTGGAGGCCTGTGAGCTAACTGCTGCCTGCTGTGAGGACCTAGCCTCTGTTTCCACCCACAGTAAAGCCCTGTGGGGAGTCAACCTGTTGGAGGACACCGTGGACCGCAGTGGACTGATTATGCCGAGTGAGGTCCTGAAACGGCTAAAAGTGTAACCTGCATGCACTTGGGCTGCAAATAACTGACTTTGAGGAGGAAACCCAAGCATTTCTGATTGCTGAGGAGGAGAGAGATCCCTACCTGACAGTCCTAGGCATGTGTAGGAGAAACAGAACAGGTGTGAAAATTCCATTCCAAGAAACCTGAGTGTATTCTGACCCCAAACCACATACAAGGAAAAAGAAGTGGACCCTTAATTTGGCCCATCTGTGTGTAAGAATTACAGATCACTGACATTCTGGTGAGATGTGATATCTCTGGTACCCAGTTTAGAAGTGTTTTGTAAGACAGATGAAGTTTCCAATTGCTAATAGAGGACATGAAGTGAAGTGGTGGGGGGTGAAGGTGGAGATGGGGAAGGGGTCCGAATATGATCGAAATACATTGTATGAAATTCTTGAATCAATAACATTTAGAAATAAATAAATAAGGTGAAGATAGAGGAGTTACCTGACATGGACCCCAGCCTCTCTATCACTACACACACACCTACACACACACACACACACACACACACACACACACACACACTCACAATGCTTCAGATCTGTCCTTCTGGGCCGTGGAGCCTGGTGTCCAGCTATGGGCCTCAAAGATGTGATGCAGGTACAACTGGACCTTCACACTTCTGGGGTCATTCTGAGGATCTCACCTGCCTGGAGGTGCTGAGCAAGTGCTTCTGAGGAATTAAAGGGCACCCCAACAATCTGAGACCCCATCCAGCCCCGACTTACCGTTCGTGGAAGAAAAAGACATAGATGGTACCAACAGAGGCCATGATCCAGACCAGCCAGCGCATGTGGGAGGCCCAGGGGCCCAGCTCCCGAAGGTTCAGCCTGGAGTAGGAAAGGAAGTCACAGGCAGAGCCTAAAGAGGGGGCCAAGATCAAGTTCTGTATGGTCAGCCTGGCACAGGAAGCTGGCCAATCCAACAGCAGCTCAGTCCCCAGGGGTGGCACAGGTAGGAGGAGGGCTCCCACAGGAAGACAGTGCAGGGGCAGAAAGTTGCACAATGCAATCTGAATCAGCAAAGATGGCATGGTAGCACACATCTGTCATCCCAGTACTCAGGAGGCTGAGACAGGAGGATCATGAGTTTCGTGTTAGCCTGGGCTTCATGCATAGCAAGACCCTGTGAAAAAACAACCTCTCGGCTTAATCTGGAAAGTGCCTGCCTTGCAAACACAAGATCCTGAGTTTGTACCCCTAGCACCCATGTCATCTCAGTGCTGAGGAGGCTGAAACAGGAGGGTCTTTGGGGCTCACTGGCCAGCCAGCCTAGCTGAATTGGTGGACTCCAGGGTCAGTCCCCAGGTGGGGAAGGGGAACGGTGGACCCTATCTCAAAAAATAGGGTGGAGACAAGGCCCCAGGTTGTGCATAGCAGTGGCTTTGCCTCTGTGTTGAGCTTATGCTGGGGACAAGAGAAGTTTATGTCATTTGTAGTGTCTAGCCTTGGGCAGTCTGATTCTCTAGAATGGGCCTCCCACCTCCCCTGAGGGCCAGCTGTGGTCTTGACTCCACATGTGGTCCTGGGCATCTAGGACCTGGCATTGAACCTTTCCCATTCCTAGACACCAAGAGGTTTTGTGTCATTTTCCTATTACTCTCCTATAGCCCCAGTGCACCTTTACCTACAGAAAAAGTAAAATACATAATTGAACCTCTAAAGATAAAAAACACAGTCGGGCAAGTTTAAAAAATTAATAATAGTAAGGGCTGGAGAGATGGCTCAGTGGTTAAGAACACTGGTTGTTCTTGTAGAAGACCTGGGTTTGAATCCCAGCATCCACATGGCAGCTAATAACTGTCCGTCACTCCAGTTCCAGGGGATCCAACAGCCTCTTCTGTCCTCCGCGAGCACTGCACGACACAGGTGCACTTACCTACATGCAGGCAATACATGCATACACATAAAATAAAAATAAATATATTTTAAAATTAATAATAATACTAATGATGATGATGATGTGGAGAGTGATAGAGGAAGACCCCTAACATCAACATCTGTCCTTCATATAGATGTATTCACACATGTGCACACACACATACACACACAGAACATGTACACATGTATACACTACGCACACAAATAAGTAAATCCCTTTGATAATATATATTCTATTAACTATATTCCTCCAGAGAATCCTGGCTAATACACATCACCATACCCAACTCTTTTCATTTTATACAATATTATGAAGATATCTATGTTTTTTTTAA